CTCAGAGAAGCAGCGCATCCCAACACTGTGCACAGTTCTCCCTGTCTGATCCCTGGTTGTGCAGCGTTGAGAAAGTTGGGCACTTATGGCAGTAGGTGTTTGAAAGCTCTGTGCGTTTGAAACTCTTGAAACAGATGAACAAAAGAGGGAACACCAAGCCCCAAAACTGCAGGCTCATTTTGTGAGATACTGAGATATCCGAATGTGAGTTGATGATGCCTTTGGCAGTGGGCTGACGAACTTGGGGAAGGTCTGTGCCTGGCAAGGTCTTGCTCAGAAACATGGAGGAAATACTGTCTGCTCAGCTACCAGAGAGTACTGAGACAAAGGAGACATCAGACTGCTAATTATCCAAAGAAAAACAAGGCCCAAAAGGCTTTTGAGGATGATAATCAGAGCAACTTTTAAGAGATATCTGAAGTAGATCAGACCATCATTTCAGTCATTTCAGATGATTTTTACTTAAATTATTGTACAGTACTGGTCAGTTTCCAGTCAGTAATACCACTAGTCCTCTTTGTGTTGTTGCAGTTTTAAAATAACCAAGAAAGCACCATTTTAGAGGAAAGTGTGGTATTCATGGAATTTTGTGTTAGAAGAACCAAACTGTATGCACATGAGGGGACCTCCAAGATTAAACTACTTTCAGCTGTACTTGCTCTCAGCCATAGGGAAACTCAGTCTGAGCCAGACTTTTTATTTGAAAAAAATCCCTAACCTTGTATGAGTTCAGGCATCCATAATTGCACTGCACATGTGACCCACATTCTTTGGTGACCTCAGTTGCTGTGGAAAGAAAGTACATTAGTACGTTCAGGAGGTAGCTGTTAAGTTAATTGGTACATCTTCATATCCTTGAAGCCTCAGTGAAGGCCTTTAGAGAATTGTGAGATGGGGAGAGAAAAGGGTAGGAGCAAAATAAAAATTCTGCTCTCCAAACCTTAGGGAAACCCACAAGTTGTTGATAGCACAACTGAAGGGCTTAGACCAAGATTATGAAGAGTGATTGGAAGAAGCCATTTCAAACATCATCAGAGAGGTGAGACTTTATTTTAGGTTCCTGACTTGGGAGGTGTTTATGTTACCCAGCTTTGCTAGCTAAATGTATAGGAAGCAGATTACCAGCTATGAACAGACATATGTTCAATGATATCTCCCAAAAGTAAGAAGCTCTTAAATTGCAGGTCCATTCTATATAATTGCCCTGTTGTGTGGAACAAAACATCCAGATGTTTATCTAGACTGTCATTTGGGAAAGTATCCCTACTCATGAAAAGTGCAAGTTGGAATTACTGAGGTATAAGTATGTGTTTTAAGTCAGGATCCATGATGATAATAAAAAACTGTACGAATTTAGAAAATTTTCCCAGTACCCGATGTAAGCCTCTACCTTTGGAGCAGGCCAGAAAATTTCCAAATAACTAATGGGGGGAGTTAGTTATAAAGTCTGTATACTGGAGAGGATATAGTAGGTAAATGCGTAATACCTAACTTCTGCGGCTTAGTGTAGCATGGAGTGGACTGTGCAAGTAGCTCTCTTTTGTGATATTTTCTTTGCATATTTGCAAATTGCAACATTCCCAAGTCACTGCTTCTAGGCACTATATTAATATGATCATTAGCAGCTTCCTGCTCTACTTAGTTGAAACCACGCATAATATTTAAACTTAAAAACACTTATGTCCAGAAGTAAGGCCAATTTGTTGCACCTCTGCTTATTCCCCCAATCACATAACCCAGGGGTTATGTTTGACAGTATTACACTGCAGAATCTGAGTGGTTGTTTCCCCATTGTGCTCCTTATAATGGAGTTAGAACTTGACTGCTTCATTGCTCGTGTTATAATTATCAGGAACTTTTCTTTCTGTGATAAAGGACTTTGAGAAACAGACTGTGAGTCAGCCTGAGCTTCATATTTCTCATAACCAGGTCAATATTTGTTATACAGTAATAATACAGCTATTTGACTAATTATCTGGCTATATATATGATTGACTGAGAGTATAAAATGCTATGAAATGTTTCAAAAAGAAAACAAAGTTTTCCAGATAAACCTTCACAGTGTCTTGTTGGAAGGGAAATTTCCAACCCCTTTGGCTGTGTTTTCTATGTAAACTTGAAACTCATGCAATAAGCTGAGTTCTCAGCTGAGTTGTGTTGTTATAGAGAAGCATTGCTCACAAAAAGTGTTATTACCTAACATGAGTGAGAAGTGGCATCCACAATTTCTGTAAGCCCTGAGTTGCACTGCTCTTCTGTATTTGTAAGATAAGGCAGCACCTACCCTTCAGACTGCTGGAACAGTGTGAAAATTGAGTTTATTTAGTGCTTACAGAGTGAGAGTGTTAGAGAGCTGGCCACCATAGGAAACCCCATGAAGAAATGATTTTCTCTCCCTCCAAAACAGCTCACTGCAAATAAAACTTGAAGCCAAACAGTGAGCAGTGAATGAAAACCAAAATATTTACTCATTAAGTTAGCTTCTCCATCCTAATCGCGGAACAAGGCAAGGAGTCCATGGGAAAAGTTTTCTGGGTAGCCTGTGTAATTTATAAATGTATAGAAGGCTGACCTAGTGTGATGCAGTCAAACTTAATCATTAAACTGGATGGTATGTTAATGAAACCAGAAGGTTGTTCAAGTCAATCTTACTGCATCCATTAAACTTTTCCAAGCAACAACAGCAAAAAAAGCCAATGCTATGTTATCTGTCATTTGCTTAACAGGAAATTATAAAACCTGCAGCCTGCCAGCTGTCAGGGCTGCAAAGGCACCAGTGTGCAAAATGAAGGAGTGCTCTTCTTCTGTTATCAAGATGAGAGTTCTTTCTTTTATCTTGTCGTTTCACATCTCTGAAGGGATATGGCCTTGAGGAGAGGAGGCAGTCTCTTGGGTCTGTCTAGTCACTGTCACCACCAGACTGCTATGTAATTAGAAACTCCTCTTGAAAGAACACGGGCTGGGATTTGATGAAAGATAGTTCATAGTTTGCCCCACTTAACAAGGGAAGTTGAATAACCCAGAACCATGAATATTTCCAGAGGAAACAGCTGTGAAATTTTTCATTTGGTTATGCAGCTCCTCAGAGTTTGTGTTCACTTGATCTCTTGCATAAAACTGAGAACTTCACAGATTGCTGAGAGGAAAAGGGAGTGAAGGGGACACTTTACCCGTGAAGCACTTGTTTTTCTGTTTTGAGTTAAATGGAGGAGAAAATCTAATGCACTGTATGACGATGGCTGCTCCGTACTACTGAAGCTAGATGTTTCATTTGCTAAGCAGTGCCATCTTTTGTATTTCTGGAAATAGAAGCCTACTGAAGATTGCAAGGAAACAAATCCAAAAAGAAGCTGAATGGGGAGTCTAGTACTCTGGCATTTTAGTAGTACTGCAGTAGTATCATTCCATTAGGCATTGATTTTTCTCCTTACATTATTTTTGCTTCTCATGAAACCAGTGAAACACTGTCTGAGTCAGGTAAGAATTCGCTCTATCATTTTCTAGAAGTGTGTGCCCTGATTTGGACCATGATTTTGAAGGTAAAAGAGACTTGTCTTTCAGATTATCACAGAAAGCAGTTCAAAGGTCAAGAATCTGAATGCTGTCAGATGCCTAATTAGAAAATAAAAATGTCTGTGAAGTGCTAATATTGTGCTTGGGTCAGAATGCGAAAGGCAGAGAGATGCTTATAACCCATGTTTATGGTTCAGGAAGCTACTTCCACACAAGCTTGTTACAACTGAGAATGTTACCCCTGGAACTTGTAAGTGCGTATTTAAAGCAGAACTCATATTTGAAGTAATTTGGGAAATGTACACAAGAAAACAGAACCTGGGCTTTGCAAATTGCTGTAAATACTGAAAATAGGTCAAATAAATCATAGGTCTTGTTGCTAAGAGATTCTCAGCTACATGTCTAGAATAAAGTTAATTTATAGATTCAGATATCTAAAATTTCGGTGTTCGTATTGTAGCTGCATACCAATGCTGTAGTTCCAGTGATGATGTCGTCAACAGTAGGGCCTAGACAGGTCTCCAACCCAGTCTAAATTAAACACTTGCATTTGGTCTGCTGAACAGTTTTCTACATCCTTTGACTACAATAGGAGCAGTGACATGTAGATCACAAAGCAATCACTTGCTGTGTAGGCATTTAAAAATGTATATCAGATTCTAGAGTTGAATCCCACTCCTAAAGTTAGTGAGGATGAACTTGCCCACAGTGACAGAGCATTAAACTGTTCCCCAATAATCTGGAGATGAGAATATGCTGTCCTGAAGCCAGGCACTTATTTTATGGAGCAATTAAATATTCTCCATTCAACAGAAGTATTTTTGTTGTAGTTCAGTCACCAGTCAAGCAGGATAGGGCTACTCTAACCATTGGCATTTGAATTATTGACAATATTCATAGTCAATGTTTAGCATGAGAAGAGGATCATACTCTACTTTATCTATGCCACCATTGCCTCACTAAAGAAGGTTGGTATCCTTACGAACATGATTCATTTTGTGGACCAGAGCAAGAGATCAGGGCAGTGAATGTCACCAGGACATTAACTTTCTCTCCTGCATCTGTGTGTGGCATGGCTTAATCACTGTCTCCTGACACAGTTCTCTTTTTATGGTACTGGTATCTGGAAATACTACCTTGGGAAACTTGTATTCTGGATTATTTGAAGGCTGTCTTTTAATGAACAGAGGGCAGAACTGATGGTCTGAGTTATCCAAGTACTTGGGCTGATCCCCTGGCTCTAATGTGTTTAGTCATGTGGTATTTTCTTATATATATATATATATATATATCTCCCTCAGAGCAAGGCTCTGACAGTTGTCTTCTTCCCAGTACTGGTCTGACTGAGGTGGAGTAAGGAAGTGCTACACAATGCTACAATGGGAAATGTTTAGTATTCTACAATACGTCATCACAATGGTATTTCTTAGCAATCCTCTTTTTCTCCCCAAATCTATCATCTCATGTTCTTTTTTATTTTCTTACAGGAGGAGCTGGGCATTGCCTGTGAGTTGCTGGAATCAGATTTCCTCAAGTGCAGTGTGGGATTTCCTTTCATGAGATCAAATTCTAGGGTAATGTTGTGATATTTGCAATTCGCAGAGTAATAGTTCATTCACCTCTGTCTCCGAGGAGTGGCTGGAAATAAACTGCTCTATTAAATGTCTGTGACTGATACTTTCTCTAGCTTTCTAACCCAGATATCCAAGCCTTTCACAGTTACAGACTGTAGCTGTCCTCTTTCCCAGCATACAGAGCCAATGACAGTACCCTGTGTAGTGCAATAAAATGCTTTTGAAAAATGATGCAAGAGTTGCAGCTGTGAAAAGCTTGCGTATTTCCTCTGTAGAAAATTAGAAAAGAACCCTCTGTCTTATTTATGTTGCCTTACTCTGTTTTTGTCTTTGTCTTCTTTCCCATTAAAGTGCAATTGAATTTATACAAATTACAATGAAAATGTACTAATGGCTTTTTCATATTGTGGTCTCCTGGTAGATTTTTTTAAAGAGGATTTTGTTCAATAATAGAAGATGCATTCTCTCATGATGTTTAAAAATCCAACTGGGTTCTTTCTGTCACTAAACTGAGCTGGATAAATGACCAACTCAGAAAGGTGAGAAAATAGGGAATAACTTTAGGATGACCCAAACAAAAAGAGTCTGAAATTTTTCAGAAAGTTTCAATTTCATGAGCTAATCCTTTCCATTTGAATTGGGATATCCTTTGACCCAACACAAAAGTTTTTGTTTTCTTAATCTTATTGACTGTTTCATGCTCTTTTGAAACATCTAAAAATATTTTTAACAGAATAGAAAAAATAAATGCAGTAGCAAAATATTATCTAGAATGTAAGAATGTAAGCCGTTGAAATTAGTATGAATTTCGATACTGTTTCACTTGGCCAAAACCCGTTTTGGAGTTAGGCAGAAAAGTTGTTACATGGAGAAGTTATTCATCAAATTAAATTCTCTTTTCAGAATTAGCACATGATTTCACCCATTATGATGAGTGTCCTGAATGCTGCTTTAGCTTGTGCCACTTGCTCCAAGTCTCTGCAGGCCTGTGGTGTGATTTTTATTCCCCTAAAAGATGTCTTCAACAGCAAACATATAGATTGGTGCTGAGATAGTTTCAGGTAGTGATCCCCTTGTACTGGAAAACTATTTCCCTGGCAAATGATCTCCTCAAGAAATATCTTTGAATGGTAATTCTAGTAAAGGCCTTTTCTCAATGAAAGGAAAAACCAAACTCTCTAGTATTTGATGAGGCAAAATGGCTAAGATTTAAAAGTTAATCTGCAGTAGAGGAAAATCTCTTACATGTATCAAAATATGCTACTTTTTTTCAACTAGACCAGTAAAATATATGTGAAGTTTCAGAATAAATACATTTTGAAACAATATGCAGTATTTCTAACTACTACTTTTTCTTTGCACAGTATGAGTTCAGTGTGATCTTTGACACAAGCCACTTGTCTGGGCAGGAAGAAACGCTTACCTTCCTTGTCACTGCCCAAAGGTAAGGGGACCTTTATATGTCTAGATGACTTGGATATTCTTTATTGCATGAAGTGTGTATTACATATGCTTGACAGTTGTGTGATATTAGTTGTAGGCATGTATATGTATAGTAAATTAGGTTAAATTACTCAGGCTAAATGCATATATTTGGATAATGCAGAGGAAGCATGTGTTGAAGCTTCCTGAAAAATGAGATAGGATCATACATAGGTTTTCTTTGCCAGGCAGTTGCAATTCTGAAGAAGCAATCTGTATTCTCTCAGTTGAAAGGCTCTTGTGTTTCAGTGGCCATCTCTTTGGGCCCTGTATCAACCTCTACTCAGTTGATGATCAGCACCAGACAGAACCATTTGTTCCAACATTTGAATGAAATAAGCATGCTTGGATGCAAACCAAAAAAGATAAATGCTTTAGTCAGATGGTCAGGGATCTCACTGACAGGTTCCAAAGTTTCATGTCTATTTTTCCCCCCTCTGGATCTTCGGTGAGCTATGACAGATTGCGGAAAATGGCTGAATAGGGTACTTCCCCCAGGGCACTTGAAGCAGGCATGGAAGTAGGTTGACGCCAAGTTTGCATCATAGGCATTTTATCTCAGGCAGAATAAAAGGTGTGACACGTGCTCTGTGTCTCCTAAGATGATGTACCACAAAGAAGCAGACTCCGTGGGTGATTCAGTCACAAGCACTGTCAAGGTCTATGTGGGAACCAATGCACAGCTGCATTAACATGGGCCATGAACTTCTGCTTTGATGTGCTGCATGTGTGACTAGTTCCTGCTTCCACTTACTGTGTGAGTGAACCAACTTCATACTCTTCCATGTCAAAATCAGGATCTCCAGCCTGAATTCTCCTCCCAAACTGGATCACACTTCTCCAAATGGCTGGAGATGAGATGAGATGAGATGAGATGAGATGAGAGATGAGATGAGATGAGATGAGATGAGATGAGATGAGATGAGATGAGATGAGATGAGATGAGATGAGATGAGATGAGATGAGATGAGATGAGATGAGATGTAGCAGCTGCTGAGTGACTCTCATGGGGCTTAGTCTTCCCCTACAGTAACAGCTGTAGGTGGGATCAGATCCTGCAGCATGTAGGACTGGTATGAAACACTGAAAATGAGACCTTGCATCACCATGTCTTTCGCATTAGAGAAGTTTTATTCTCCCTGAGGAGAAGTGAATCTTTTGTTTAGGTGACCCTGTGATGTGTCTCAGTCAGACAGATACATCAGTACATGCTGGGTGAATTCCAGCTGGTGCAAAGATGGGTCGGCAGTGCTTTAAATTTGCCCAGCCAGTGTTTTCCAGCTATTTTCTCCGCCTTTGATAGCACAGGACTTCCCTATGTAACCTCACTCCTCATACTTCTGTGCTGTGCCGGTGAGAAGGGCTAGTCAGTGCCTTTAGATGGAGCAAATAAATAAACAGTAATTTTTATATATGATCAGAGTTGTTAAGAGAAAGTTTCTTATTCCGGAAGTTTGAACAGGGTGACAGTTATGTTTGGAAGGATTCAGCTGAACTTCCAAAGACAGCAATGCAGGCCTCAGTGCTGATTACCCTCATTTTCTCTGTGACTTTGGGCAAATTGCTCAATTCCCTTGCTGTCAAATAAGCGTAACAAGAGTTGCAGGAAGCCCTGAAGTAAAGTCAATGATAAAGAAATGGAGAGGAGGTGCCTGTGCTGTGACCAGGCTGCAATGAGTGAGGACATTGTTTCCACACAAAACTGGAGCTGGTGTGGCAGAAATGGCTGGACACAGAGCAGCTATGTCACACTGTTGTGGGAAAGCAAGTTTTGCCATCCAAGTGGCCATTTAAGCCTGTGCCTTGAAGCTGCAAATTTGGCAGTAGCATCTGTAACAAGAGACTGGTTCAGTAGTGGGACAGATCAATTGGAGAAAGAACTTAACATTGCATTACATTGCTTTTACACTATTTGTTAAAAAAAACCCCAAACTAAAACAACAAACCACAATAAAACCCCAAACCCTCTTCTTTGCTTCCAGGTGATTACTGTTTTTCTAGAGCTAAATTGACTGAGTTGTATTCTTCTTTTCTGACAGTACCTTAACTCCATTAGAAACAGATAAGAACATATCCATGAACCCTGTATAGAATTCTACTTGCCTATTCTGTTTGCCACCATGGTATATCAATATTTGTATTGGATGAGAAATGTCTCCATTTTGGACTCTTCTGTAAGCGTATTCAGAGGAAGAGCTTTTATTAACTGATTTTTTTTCCAGGACCGAATGTTTGTGGGTTTTGCTGTCTGGGCCATAGTTTTCTTAGCAGACATGGCCAGTGTGTCAGTTGCAGAAAACTGAACTGTATCTATGCATGTATGTGCCAGGAGGCTCTGTTTTTGTAATCTGAGCAACTCATAATCTACGTGGTATCAGTTGGGATGTTATTGCCCTCAGTGATACTGTCCTCAAACAAATATGATCCTATCTTTTGTTTTGCCAGTTTGATTTGTGAGTAATCCAATGAACTGCAAGGCAAAAGTGATTCCAGAGTCATAGCTAAAGAAATGGGAAATATATGTAACATATCTTTCCAGATTGTTCTGAGCTGTCTCCCACCAAGCAGACTCACCATCAGAATTAGAATAGTTGCAGGTTTGCATGTTAGACATGCATTTCAGGAACCTTTCCCATATGTTAAGTGTTCACAGTGAAACAAAGTGACTCAAATGAGAGATAATTGCTCACTTTTCTTGTTCTTCTTTCTGCTTTTGACCAGCTGAGGCAACAGCCTTTGAAAATATAAAGTAGAAGCGCTTTCATTTTGGCAGCTAAATACAGGAAAAGGGGGGTGGAACTGCTGAGAGGTTATGGCTGGTTCAGTGCAAGGGTCTCACCCAAAAAGCTGCTTGCAGTGGCACCAAATTTGTGCTGTAGTACAATGCAGATACACTGAAAGCATTGTTTCATTTACTGAGTCAAGAACCTCTCTGGGGGACCCTCACAAACTGACATGCAGTCAGACTGGGAGAAAACGAACACCTGCATTAAAGTCTGAATGTCCTTGTTTCTCTCCATTGTACGATGGCTGCTGTAATTTCCCACAGACATTTGAATTCACACCTTGTTCCAACATACTTTTTTTTGTTTTGAGCCTGATCTGTCACAGCCATAGAAGAGCAACCACAAAACACATGCTTTATGTGTCTGCTCTCTCCAAGACTGAGTGAACAAATGTAACTCTTAAGACTTCTTAAGGAACTGATGTCATTCAGATAGAGAGACTCAGAGTACAAGGCAGAGAGATGGTAGCTGTGAAACTGTGTGATATTGCAAATGCTGTCAATTTGCAGAATGTTTATTTTTCCTTTCTGGCATAGTGGAAACCTAGAACGCAGTGAATCTCTGCATGATAATATTCTAACCCTGTCGGTACCTCTGATGCATGAAGTGGCTTCATCCATCAATGGGTAAGTATCAGTCACCAAAGCAAAATCAGTACCACTACTACTACTACTACTATTAATAATAATAACAACAACAATAATAATAGCTGTGTGTCTTTCAGTGAAAAAATAAATTCTTCTCTTTGTTTATATGTAGCCAGACTGTTGCTTTTCCTTGTTTCTCAGATTCTGGACATACAGACAGCCTCATTTGGTATCTGGAAATTTTATTCATTCCAACACTGTACCTCTTTTACACATATTTCTAATTAATGCTAATTAGTTACCATCACATTTATAGTAGGTATTTTAATATCATGTTTGAATTCAAGTGATTCTTTATATCTGATGGGCCTTAAAATAAAAAAAAAAAAAAAAAAAAGAACAAGTAAACCATGGCCTGTTTCTTAGGGCATGGGTTGAGAGTCACCAAGCCAAAGGTTAGGGTCAAATGTTCCAGGATTTCAAGGAGCTTGGTGAAGGCTGTTTGCCTTTCTATTTAATATCACAAACAGAATTTGCTTCTATTTCTGTTCATTTTCCCACTCCCTCTACTCCCTAGTCTGCGAGGCATCTGACTATGAACTGGAGAGCATCACTCACCCTTTGATTAAAATACATGTATAAAACATAGCTGTTGTGTCCTCTCCCCAAGGCTACACATGTACAAGTTCCTGCCGTTGTAGTTGAGACTCTTCCCTTCCACTTGGCATCTAGCATAAACAGTACTTGAGTTGGCACTGGGGGACCTGGTCACTGAAGGTGAATTAGCATTCATGTAGACCAAGAAAGCTGATATTAATTCCTAAACATACTGGGGAAACAAAACTTCATCAGCAATGTCCCTAGAAGGTCAGTGTCTGTTTTAGCCACCATCTATGGCAACCCCCAGGCAGTAGATATTGTCTAAATGACCAGTGCTGGTTGGCATCAGTAGAAATCAAATATTTCCTTGACTACTACGCTAGATGTGTAGGAAAAAAACTAACTTGCACTGACATGGGATTTGACTGAAAAGGTGGGTAAACTCAGATTCATGGCCTAGACTGGGTTTTGTCACATAAAGTTGATTTCTATCTTGTTGCATGGAAATAAAATCCTTTTCAAAATCAATGAAAGGTATGCTTGAGCCTCCTCAGAGAAATGAAAAGCACTGTCAAACCTCACAAGATGACAGAGGACAAAAAGCAAGGACAAAAATCTCCATATTGAGAGTACAGTCTCAGCAGCATGTTCTGAAAGTTTTTGAATGTTTTCATTGTTACAGATTCTTCAGAAATTTAACTCTGTATCCCTTGCTTCTTGATGCTTTGATACAGATGGATTTTTGTTCAGATTTACAGATATGAATGCTTTCATTTGTATTGTTAGATCTCTGTTTGTTACCTACAGAATACTGCATGCCAAAAAATAATATAAGTTGGGCTCTTTTCTTTCTCTTCAGAATGTACTTTTTTAAAGTGAATCCGAAAAACCGGTCCAAGAAACTGCTCAGAGACTTTTGATCTTTTGAGCAGCAAAGGTATTTATTAGCAGCGCTGGGAGCAAGCCAGCTATTGCTGGAAAAACTTGCTCCCCGGCTCCTCAGAAAATCAACACTTTTATACAATTTTCAGATGTGATTAAATGCATATTCAAACGATTACAACATCTATCAATACATATTAAAAATAGGCGGAGTATAGGCAGAGCTTGGGGCGGTGCTTCTCTTGGCACCCCATTTCGAAGGGTCGTTCTCATCTTCCTCCATGGGGCAAGGGGCTTCAACTCATCTTCCTCAGCTTGACCCTTCTTCCTTTCCTTTGTTCTTGACCCGCTCACTGAAGCTTGGAAAAGGCCCTGGCTCCAGGCCTATTTCTCCTATTCAAATGTCTACCTGATCCTGCTGTATTTCTAATTTATTGCTTCTAGGCCTATTACATGTTCTTGTACTATTCTCTTAAGCTTTGGTCCAGTAAGTAGAACAGAACGGGTACAGATCGTTTTGGATGTTGGTAACTTGTTTGCAGGCCCAAATTTCTTAGTTAACTCTTTTGGGCCTAGCCTCCTGTATCAAAAGCACAAGGTCTCTGAATTTATAAGCCCCACTCAAATGACTATATGGATTATTTTTTTCTTTCTCTTAGACACAGTTTAGTTAATTCAAGTTCACAGAAAAGTCCAACTGACAGAAAAAAGTTGGGTTTATTGGAAGGCACAACATTCCCAGGCATGGTAACATTAGCAGTACTCTTTTTTCAGATGTCTTTTTGAACCTTATTTATCCTATATGAATCTAGGGGAACAAACTTCATTCCTGGTCATAAATAGCCCAAAAGGGCTTGTACCATGTTTGGGAGAAGCCTTCTAGCACAACACTGTAAATGGGAGGAGTAAATCTATCTCTCACTGTTTCCCCTAGCAACCCCTGGCATAGGAAGGAGACAGGAAAAAAGTAAATGTACCTAAACAGGCTTAAAATCCTGTCTCAAAAAGCTCTGACTCCAAAGGACAACCTGAGAAGGAAGCAGAGTTTTAGGCAGTGATGAGGACCAAGGTTCATTTGAAATTACGCCAGGACCGTTTCCAGACAGTGGAACAGCCTGAGATTAGAAGGATGCACAAAGGATGCTTAAAGCACTCCTAGTTCTCTTCTGCAGGATTTCCAGGTACTGTGTTGTGCTTCCAAGTAATTTCTCATAAAATCCTACTGCATTTTACTGTGTGATAAGAGTGGTTAAGGAAACTTGGCCTGTTCCACTGAAGTTGAAAGCAGGTTATATCCCCTCTACTCTCTCCTTTAACCATCTCTGAATCATAAAGGTAGTAAAACTTGGATAATTAATTGTTTATTCCTGCTTGCTATGAAAATGTACTTCAGTGAGTATGTAACTGAAAGTTACATAATTCCTATTAGTTACTGTTTCTTCAGATTGACTTCACAGCGCAATGATTTCCTGTGTTACAAAAGCTGTGGGACTTGCACAAATCATCCATGACAGGGGCCCTGGAGAAGAGGTTTTGTGATAGGAAAGGAGAAGAAGAGATAAGTAATGAAGTCTGCTTCAATGATGGGATGTTAATCCAGGTCAGTTGAGATGCTGCTTGTGTAGTCTAGTGTTGCCAAGAAGAAATCAAATCAGGAACAATAGATTAATATCAAATAGTCCCATAGAATTTCACATAACTGTAAAGCAAGGGTGCAAGTCAGCTGGACACAAATATATTTAATTTTGGTGACAAACTCAGCTTACTATATCTGTGTCTTGATCTTACAGAGAAGTCTTCCCTACTTCATTTTTCTATGGTGATTCTGTGGAAGTGTCCAACTTTGTTCAGTTGGAAAACCATGAATGCCTTTTCCAGTCTCTCAACTTCACCCTGCAGGTAAAACTCCTCCTTATTTTGTCTGCTCTCCTGCTTGACAGCACATTCTGGTTTTGTGTCTTTTTTATTCTGGGTGTGGTATGGACTTGTGACCGTGACTTTGAATCACAGTCATGGGCAGAATGGAAGCTTCGGACAATGTTTATCAGGAAGATCGTCCTGTTGAGTCATGAGGTTCCAAAAGAACTCCCTTACTTTCTAAACTCCTCCTCACAGAGGAGTCTGGGTGCAGCTGGATCCAATCCCAGCCCCAGACTTGGTCAACAGTTTATATGTAAAGGTTATATAGGTGTAATCGAGTCTTTGTATGACAAAACAAATACATTTACATGAGTAAAATAAATTATTTATTTAAACTGATGATGATAATGATTAGACTAAAATACTTTAGTCAGAATTATTTACCACATAATATAGTTTTATTAATGGTGCACTATTTATTAAATGAATAATTTCAAAGCTAGCTTTTATTAAGTAGAGATTGATGATACTCACCCATATCAAGAACCATGGGCAAATCTCTTGCACTCAACCTCAAGGAGTAACTTTGAGGGACATCCCCACTCAAGGGAGGAATCTCTACACTCTCTCCTCAAAGGGGTATGTTCTGCTGTTAAAAAGCAGAACTGGGCTTTTATAGTATAAAGTGATCAACTGTCAATCATGTCTTTATGCTACCTGTGTCAGCTATGCAGCCTTTAGCTCAGCAGCTTTAGACAAGTTATCAGTGCTATCATTTGTTGGTTCCTTTATCAGGAACTTTGTCTGCCACATCCTTACTGGTGCCAGTTTCTGTCAGGAAACACTGAATGTTTAACTTTGGGACTGACGAGTCAGGCTGCTTTCAGAATTCTTCAACACCAAAAGCAGCATGATCCACCTTCTCCATCCACTGCTGGTAACTTTTGCAAATAGGTAACGTTGGAGCTGTTTTACCCCCACCAAGGCAGAGCATCCTGCTAAAATGTTGTACAATGCATTCTTGATTGGATACTGTATTTACAGTGTGCAGGGATGGCATATGTCCTTTATCTGACTATATTATAACAAGAATTGCAAACAGGGCATCTCACTTCCATAAGAATGAAGCCACTACCATTTGTTGCTCTTTTACCTTTCATCACATGCTGAGTAAAGAGCTCTAGTTACTCAAGTGCCACATCTTGGATGAAGTCACAGGTTAAAAGTGGAGAAGTAATTCTTTTTAGTGGCATGGTCTTTGAGCAGAGGAGTGGGCCACCTTTATTCATGAGAACAAACACATGCCTGTGCAAGGGATTCAGACTTACTAAATGCCCCAGTATGAAAATGTTTATAGCACTACTGATAAGAGTACAGTACAGGCAAGAGATAATGACACTAAAGAGGCAGATGTGAGAAGTTTTAATTAAATATTTCACAGCATCTCAGCATTAGTCAATTATTACCTGTATTACACTGCCAGTTAGATGGGTTCCTCATATGGCAAAATATATGGATGATTTATTATCATAAACTCTTGCGATGTGTCCAAAATTAACTTGCGCTGTGTTTCGCTGATGTGACTGTATCTATTACAAGCCCTTCAAACTCTTTTTGACCACTAGATGGAACTAGAAAATGATAAGTCATGCAGAGGTAGGTTCATTTATTGAGAAAAATAGTGTTTCACCTTTTTTCTCCCTTTCTGTTCTCCTAGGCATGAATGCCACTCAACTCATAATGAATAACACGTCTGCCTCTGTGGACAGATTGCGGTCCAGAGCAATTAAGCCCCCACTGTCATGTGGTGCCCTTAGCTATTTACTGAGAAGAAGTGAAAGCAGGATTTTAGGACATTAAAGCTTTTGTGAACCAGGCTGTTAATTCTTGTGATTCTGATTTCATTCTTGAGGATTTATAGGTTTTCCCCATCTTTCCCACCATAACCAGTTATTCATTAAAACCAGATAAAGAACAGAGACACTTATTTTTTAATTAGATGAATATTTTCAATAAAGCAAAGTGATAACAGGCAGAGCCACCATTTGTCCTACTCATCCTCTTGTCTTTTATGCACACACTTAGAAGTTGCACTATTATTTTTTTTTTCCATATAGAAGCAGAAAAATATACTGGAACAAGTCACAGATGTGCTCTCCAGTAATGTGCTAAGCCTCATAACTGTGTGCATCGGTGAGATAGGGCAGACTTTCATAATGGGCAAAGCATTGTTTTTATCACTCTTTGCTTAATTATTTTAAATGATTTGCCTGGCATTTATTTAACTTCTCCAGGTGGAGAAGAATAATAGTTTCTTAACCAAGAAAAAGAGATGATTTACAAAAATATGGGGTTTTATAACAGTTTTTATATGTGAAAAGCTATGCAGGGTCCAACGTTAATGGAAACAGATCTACATGGGTTTTTTTAAGTAACAAGACATACAATGAAAATGCCTTTTCTGCAGTACTCTTATATCTGATCTCAGAGAGATAATAAAGGTTTTTAAAGTGTCTCACATGAAACATTATGTTTATATTTCATGTAGCATTTATCATGCTCGGTTGTAGTGGGATTTCACCCCCTGCCTGGATCCTCAGTGTTTTTGTGATGATTTGGCATTGCAAACCGATTCTCTTTGTCAGTCAGACATTTCTTCAGATATAAACAGTGTTTAAAGAATGAAAACCTATTGTTTTTAATATTTGTACTTTACACAATTAACAACTGATTGCTGCATCTTTTAACAGTAGTGGATAAATATTCTAATGGGCTTAATGTTCTTACTGTATGCGTTTATATTTGTGGGTTTTTTACTGTATGCATTTATATTTGTTTTGTTAGAAAGAACCAGGACATATTTTTCCTAATAAAAAAATGTAGTTACAAATGAAAACTTATTTTCATTGAAAGTTTTCCATGGATTACTTCTTTTCCGCAAAAAATCATAAATTTTGGGATTTTCACTAGATACATTTCAGTGGTGGGCAGGAAATTCTTTGAGTTTTTGTCAAAATTTTGAGGGAAGAGGATTGATAGAAAGCTAATGTTTTTCACCAGGAGTTTAATTAAATTATAAACTCCAGAACTTGAATGGAAATTGTTCACATGCATTTTCTGGCAACTCACTCAGTAAACCTGCAGTCCAGCAGTCACAATAATTGTTTAGCTTCTGCTTCATAAGGAAAACGTATGCAGAATATAATGCAGTGGTTACCAGATGGAAATGAGAATGTTAACTGAGACAGTAATATTTCTTACAGCCTTCCAGATTGTATTACCAAAACACTCATAGTATTAGCAGTGTCTCTGTGTATAAGATAGAAATCTTATGCTGTTTGTATTGATGACTGGTAATTATCTTGCAAAACTGCTTCTTATTTCATATATGAGCTGTGCCTAAAGAATATAAAGTAAACTAATTCTTTAACTTCATCCTGACAGATACAAAAGAAGTCTTCATCTGAAGACATTGAAAAACCTGCAAAGTACTTGAGTTTCTTCAAATTTAACTATACTTCCAGCTGTGATTCTACAGTCATTTCCCATTAATGAGAAGTCATATATGTAATTTTGTTGGTATTCATTTGTTCTCTTACAGGTTTACAATGCTGGACCAAGCACTCTCCCTGGAGCTTTTCTTGACATTTCATTTCCAAACCGCCTCTCTGCCACTGGAGACGAAATATTTCATATTCAACAGATGATGGTGAGTATGTTATGATGTGTTTTGAGACCAGAGAGGCACTGAAAGCTACTGATGACTGAAACAATAGAAATCCACCAGAACCAGATGAATAAGTTGCTTTTTAAGATAATAAAAGGTTATTTGTACCTGTGACCACATCATAAGTAGCTGAGCCCCTCCAGCTGTTGACTGCTCTCCCTCACCTAGGGCAAAGAACTGATTCTATGTTCCTGGTTTCCTATGATGCTATGTAAAACTAGGTCAGGCTAACACTGAAGAAAACATTTCCCCAAGTCACACCTCCAGACAGGATTGAGTCTTAATTAGTCCTCCCTGATTGAGGGAGGATTAAATGGTGTATGTAATATCAGTAGGATATGTTACCAAACTGACTGATGTTCCTTGATTTTTTTCTGTGGCTTTCTGCAAGAATACTAGCTATGTCTGAATACCTTATCAATATCTATTTTTCTGTAGTCCATGTTATAATTTGCTCTTTTTGAGTGGTCTTTTAGCAAACATAAGTAATAGAGAAAGTTATTCTTTCAACACTGTGTTTTTCAAAAGATGATTTTGTGTGAACTACAAAGAAATTCAACATAAACTGTGGTAAAGAAGACACATTCTTAGATTTCATTTCTAATATTTATTTATTAATTTCAAAACCTTTGTTAGACCACTAAAATACCATCATTTATACTGTGGTGGCCAAGAGAGGGAAACCTTACTACTGAGGTAAATTTAGTACTGAAATTCAGAGTAATCTGCCTTAGTGATAATTGAAAAGAAGTATTATACTTTCTTGTTGTTAGCTACTTTTCTAGCCTTTTGGTTGAAAAGTATTACCATTCCTGATATGTAAGTAACAGTGTCACTGAATATGTGTGAACATAGATCCAAAGGATCTTTCTAAGCAGGTTTCCGAGATTTTTGCTGTGGAAAGTATGAGATAAATATAGATATGGCTTACAGATGGGCACTAAAGACAGAATAACTGAGAAACACATTGGAATATTGTATGCAATACTAGTGTATAGACTGAGTCAATTCTCCAGCTAGACTGAATTAGTTCTCCAGCATGTGCCTCATTTTCTGTGGCATTGCATTTTAATGTTTTATTTAGTCCAGCCTTATAAACAGAAGATCACCTTTCCTTTGACAAGGATCGTGACCCATTTCCTTGGCCCTTTTCTGGTCTGTGGGAGGCATGGGAGGCAGTGTGTTTGCAACAGCAGCAGAGAGGTGGGAGTCTTCTTAATAGATTTTGCCTCCCTAAATGTTGGTACTTCATCTAAAGTCAGTCATTCTATACATTCCTGTATAGCCAAGAGAAAGGAACAGAAAACAGCCCATCTTACTTAGAGTGTGATAAATTCCTTCTTGGCTTTACTTGTTTCTCTGTGTTGACTATTCCAGAAGTCTGGGCAAATTGTCTTAGTCAAGACACTCGTTTTGTACACTTGAATTAGGTGAGGTGTACACTACCCACCAAGTGGGCAAGGACTAGTTTCCAGGCATAGATGTCATTTTCTGCACAAGTTGTCTGAAAAGAATGGGATGGACTATATGGTTTTGGATAGCTGTTAGAAAACAAGGCAAACCCCTTAAATCTTGCACTTAACTTATTTTTCATTGCTGTTGTACATCTGATGGCTTACCAAAAGGAGGTCCAGCTGGCTAGTGTGGTTTTGAGCACTCTGCTAAGAAATGCTTACAGAGTTTATATTGCTTTTCCCAACGACAAGTTGCATTTCCCTGCATGTTGTTGGACTGAATTGTACTTTGTAGAATGTCTTCATAGGATTTTAAACAGCTGTTGTGAGACCTATCTGCATTGCAGGCTGAAGAGTGGTAGTAGGCAAGTATGTTTTTATGAGAGCTGTTTGCCTGGTACACTAGCATTCACTGGGTCATTTTGACTACTGATTTTTGGTATATGGTCAGTAGAAGTCTACTTCATGACTTTCTAAACACCTCTAATATGTTAATAAATATTAGCCAAGCAAATCCTCTCTGGGGTAGTGGTTATCCCTGCTTTACAAATACATAATTGAAACACCAAATGGTTTGCCTGAGGTCACACAGGAAATTTGTGTCAGAGCCAGGCACTGAACCTCTGTATCCTAAGTCTTACTATTGTAAGAGAGAAAGCATCCCACTCTTTTTCCTACTGCTTCTCTCCCACTGAGTTTTTATTGACTGAAAAGGGAACTAAAATCATGGAGCTTTTCAGCTTTTCATAGACCAAATATAATTAAACAAACAAACCCTAAAAGCAGATGAACTTTGGAAAAGGGTTTAGAACAGCTGTTTTTCAGGAGAATTTTTGTAAGCATAGTCATTAAATATTTCAATCTTTTCCTTATTTTCAACTCCCCAAAATCTAGATTGCAGTAAAGGTAATAAGGTAATAAAATCCTTTCAGACAGTGCAGGTGTTTCTGTAATTATGCCTTTTTGCTGTAATTCAGACATTCTAGCTGTCAGTGTTGACAGAACTTTTAGAATAGGTGTCATTAATACAGTAGATTAGGAACTGTCATTTATCTGTAACTGACACTGTTGATACAGCATTTGCAATTTGATTACATAATGTTTTGTTTTAAAGCTAACAATTATATTGCTGTTTCTCTGATATACAGTAAAGCAGTGGAATTTATGGGTGAAAATCCATAATAAAACCACTAGAGTTTGTGTCCCAAATACACATATACCACACAAGATAGTTCCAGGAACCAATTCCTTCATATTGAATTGAGTGATCTAGTCTTTCAGGCACAAAAAATAGTAAGAGGAAGAGAGTCACATATGGCCCACTGGAACGGGCTCTTTCTCTGGGAGGTGTTAATAGGAATTATTATCTTGATGGCCTTAGAGGAAATGACAGCCCTCATGCTTCCTCTGTTCCTGTTTTTTAACTTTATTGCAGAAACTGTTTTAAGATTTTCTTCCAGACAAATTCAGGACACAAATTCAGGAATTTGGGGTTCTGCCTTAGAAATGTTCAGACGCAATTCAAGGGGCATTGGGAGTTTCTGCAGCACTTCTCCCAACAAAGTTCCCAGTATATAAAGGGAATGAGTTGACAGTAAAAGCCAGAAGTAAACAAGAAGATGGATAACTGAAAGAAAACTAGAGTAACAAACCACAAGTGAAGTTCCTCCCTATTAGAAATTTTTAATGAAAAGGAAATTATAGAAATTTTCAAATAATTTTAACTAAGAATTTCACAGTCGACATTGGGTTTACGTAGTAAATACTCAAATTCTGCAGCAGTAAATAATATTTTGGAAGCAGATAAGACAAATTAATAGTTGTTCGCTTTTATGCATTTTTGTATTTGCTTTCTTGCAGAGGTTTCAAGACAGCTTAAAAGCATAATAAATTAAATACCTCCGTTTGTTAGTAAAAGTCTTGTAATAGAATAGTATAGGTGATGACACAGAAGAGCTTCATCCAAGCCGAGAAGTTAGTCTTAACACAAATATATGTTCTCCACTCTTCAAACCATTGATTATCTATTCTTCCACAAAGGAAAACAGTGCACACTTGTGTGTGTTTTGGTTTTGAACTGAAAGATCAGTAATTTCCTTTGGCTATCCAGCTAATTTGAATGGCAAGGGGAGCACTACTTGACCTGCCAAGGAGCTGCTTTCTGAGGCCTCCAAAAAGATTTTCACAATGGGAGTTCCTACCAATTTAACCAGGGTATTTCCTGAAGCTGTTCATAAATTAGCAATGTGTCCAGGATTACTGTGGTGCTGGTTTTATGGAGCTTGATCAGATTGTTGTGTTCCTATTTATTTTATTTGCACTGAAGGTAAATAAATTATGAAGAACAAGGGATTAACTGTTGGAAACCAAGTTTGTCTATTTGAACTGGATAATCTTCTTCCCTCCTCTGGAGGGACCAAGAAGAGCCTGTTTAGGTGAATCAAGCATATGAAAAACTGTGTTATCATCCTCACTGAGATAAGAATCTTGTCAGAAAGTAAGATGTGTATGTTGCAAGTCTCTTCAAAGAGTTTGCAGTCTAGGCAATTGAAATAAAAGGGAATTTGGAAGAAAGAGGAAGAGAGAAAGAAATACTGTTCCCAATTTTTTGGTGAAAAACTCCCTCCCTGTATGTAACTCTTGATATCTAAGTCTAGTAATTACTGTTTTAGTAATAGCTACCAATAGAATATATTTAAATTACTATGTTCTCTTACTCTAGCAATTAATGTAGAGAAAGAGGCATAGAAGCAGCTCTGGAGAAACACTTGCCAGTCTCCATTGACGGTACAGAAACCATCTAGTCTCCCTGAGTTTCCCTAGTCATCTAAGCTTAGACCTTGAGAATTATCTCCAGAGAGAAAAAAAATGGGTTAAACCCCAGTCTTGTGAATCCTACTCCCATTAACCTCGAGTGTTAGCCAGTTAGCCCAGGGCCCTAGTTCCTAGTCTGACCTTCCTATCGCTTTTCGGTTAGGGAGCAAAATAAAGGTCCTTCTCTGGGAAGGACAAACAGAAGTCCTCCAGTTGTCCTATTATGCTTAGCATATTCACACTTCTTTCTGTGTGGATGAGACCTGGATTGCACCTTTGTGAAAGCTGGGTATCAGTAAGATTTTAAAAAGTAAAGAGAAGCTGGAGGAATTGAAGAGAATTCCTTTTACAGGTTGCCTTTTAAGTTAATGGCTGCCTGAGCATGGGACTGTAGAAATGCTTGTCATGTTTCATAAGGAAAATGTGGAAATAAATTTTATTCTCTTCCTATGAATGTTGATACAGAAAAAAGTAAAATGGAAGTCAGTCCCAGAGCCACAAGTCTTTCCTGGCCGATGACAGGTTATATTTCTAAGGCCAGTTTTGTATACCACTCATGTAATTTTTCTTCCTGGCATTAGCACAGTAATGACTGTAAGGAGAAGGAAGAAGTTAGGGAGAAGCTTGCTGCCTCATTCCATTAAAGGTCCCACCCAGGCTGCTTGAGGTTTTTCTTCACTTATATAATGAAAAAGAAATCTTTGCAATTTTAAA